TACACGTCCCTATGTGCACGTTGCGAGTTGTCGATACAGCTCGCAAAAGGATCACCCCAAGTGAGGCATGGAATGCCGGCCTCACTTAACATATTATGCAACCGGTACCTTGCACCGGTTGGCGTTCGCTTTTCGAACTTGAGGCGTATCGCCTCAATCTTCTTAAGCCGCCCTTCTCGTCCAAAATTCTTGACGTTTTGGACGAAGGCGTTCCACGCTGCTAAAAGCGAGGCCTTGTCACGCTTTTAATTGCCATTATACCATCGATGCCTAAGGAAGGCTTCGAGAAAGAAGTCTTCTTCAGCGCGGAAGTTACTCGCGCTGAAACTTAAGCCGTGAAGCTCAGTTGCATTGAATAAAGGAATTCGATGGTGTTGGCTTGTCTCGTGAGACAAGCTATTGATGAGCTGCTCGGGCAAGCGCCACGGCTTGAGCTCATCACGCTTCAATGTGGTACCTGTTATGGTACCACGGCTTACAGAATGACGATGGCTCTCGCCATCGTCATCACGCTCTTGCGGGAAAGCACGAGTTGATACTGGTGAGGCATAGTAGTCCTCACCATAGAGTTCATCATCACTGCCGAACAGACTGTGATGCATTTCACGAGCCCGCTCGTTCGACAGTGCTCTTGACGAACGATGAGGCACCGCAGGTGATCGGGATGCCTCTGGAACGTTGCGCGAGTCAGGCACGTCTGACTCGCCATAATTGATGACCTCATTGCCAAGGTCATCATGTGCACGTGGTGCGATACCGCGTGCGTCTGCAGCACCTTCTGCTGCAGACGGAGAAAAGCAGCAGACGACGAAGCGTCTGCCGCAGAGGCTGGCACAGCAGCAGGCTGTGTGGTCTTCGAATCACCTCGCATAGACATGTTAACTATGCGAGGCAAGGTTAGGAGTGAATGGGTCTGACCAAACAAGTGCTCCCTGTCCCACTGGTGTCCAACGGGTGGCCACCAAGTTTTCGATAGTCACACGGTGGCTATCAGATAAGGGAGGGGTGATGTAACGGGGTAGCCCGATACATGAGATTGTCATTAAAACAATCTGACAATAAAGGATATTACGTTGAATATTATTTTAATAATATCACAAGACATGGTGATATTGTTGGGATGACCGAAAGGTCTACTCATTGGTTGATATCGTGATGATATCAACCCACCAATCGCTGCTAGACGCGCGCAATGGGTAGTGAGTAGACGCCATCATACATATAGTTATATTAGTTAATTAAGTCAGGACAACATAGATTCAAGGAGTTATAGGACTTAATTATATCAATACAGTTTTACTTTTACCAAGAGGCTAGTCTGACGACTTAGTCTCCGTCCCTTCCTCTGTGTTTTCCTTAAAACACCTAGCAGGGCACTGTCGACCACTGTCGTCAGTGGAAGTATACTCCGTACTGGTCAACCAGTACGTAGTCAACAGTGCCCCGTTACAAAACCGGCCTCTCCGCTCACTATCAGCACGACAGCGTTATCTCTCGCTAGCTACCGCCACGGATATATACGTGGTCGGTTAGTGATAACCTGGTCCTTTGTATTCGCCAGAGCGTAGCTAGTTGGCACGACGAAGGTGTTAGCAGAAATCTATCAATGCTGATTGAGGGCTCCACGCTCTGCATATTGGCGCGCTTACGGGGAGTAAAACGTCCGTTAGGACTGTAATAATCTGCGAAGGATCTCTGCGTAACAGCCATGCCTTCTCTTCGCAGTCACTTGCGATACGAGATACCTGTCAACGACAGGTTCCACTTGACGCAGCACTTGATCTCACCTTGTCAACACGTTGGCGGAAAAGAATAACGCACATCGAAGCTCGTAACTTGGTTTGACGGTGCTATGAACACAGCACTACACACCGTGACAAGGCCGGGTGTGATTGTATTTCTCCTAGGAGCAACACAATAGGAATCCGATTTTGACCATGTATTGACCAAATGTTAGACTAAGTACCTCGCAAACGGGATCACTTCGACACTGTGTGTTCTCGTATTCTGCCTCCTACGACGCATCTCCTTGATCTCGTGCAAGACAACTATTTACAGGCTAGGCAAGCCACGACTTCATATAAGTTTCGGCTGTAGATGCTCGTGACGTGTTGGATCGTCGAGAGACCAGTATGCTTTCGACCGGCCTTTGTGTCTTGATGATGCATGCCTGTTTCCATGCCCGATCGTTTTCTGTCTCTCACCTGTCCATCCTGCCATCATACTATCCGTATTGTGCTTCACTTGAGCGCTCACGCTTATAACGTCAAGGTAGATCAGCTGGATAGGAAATATATCGATGCATTCGGGAAGTGCCGCCCAGTTTGGCCCGGCGACTGCCGCTCCAATCACTTCTGCGATTATGGCAAATTCATATAACACTGCTCATGCGTACTGCTCTTTAGCACCTCCTAAGGACCCCGTTACCGAGCATACGGCGTCTTGGCAAGGATCACCTGTCGACGCATACCACCCAAGAGGTGCATGATCCTCGCTGTGGGGGGGGGGCTTGTATGGTGCGAGAAGATACCCAGGTCTGTGTGGCATGCAGAAACCGAGCAATGACACGTCTGTCGCGTGGTACGATAAAACGACGCACACGCTCGCACGCACCCGAACGTAGATAGCCAACCGACGAGGGATGTGTGGGCCTTGCCTGAAGCGGACGGTTGCTGGTCGTTGCAACATCCGCGGAATGACTGTACTGGACCTTCAACAAACGATCAGCTCTTTTAGCACCACGTCGATCACACACCTAGCCATGGACGTCATACAGGCCACTACTTTTTATTTCTTTCGTTCGCTCGATCGATCTGATACACCACGAGCTATCTTTCCATCGATCGCATCGCCACTGGGCACTCATGAACTGGCTTTATATCGATGGCGTCGCTACCGCGCACTGTCCGTACGAATGACGTCGAAAGCAAGCGGATGGTGTTGCTAAAATGTCAAGCATGTGCATCATGGCAAGTGTCATAGTTTTGATGATGTTGAGGCGGCATCAAGGAGTTACTTCCCCAAGAAGTCGCCAGACTGCTAAGATTGATGTCCATGCAAGACCTCTTGCAACGCGACGTCAAAGTATTCGCCGAATTGTCACAAAGCCGACTTATCTTCGTTTGCAACCACTACAATTGCTTGCGCATTGTGGTGGCTTTGAAGGGGTGGACCACCTCGCGATCGTTGTGCCAGGGCTACAAGAAGCCCCCGCTCTATTCAACGTGAACACCAAAACAAAGTAGAAAGGACCGGACCTCTGTCATCGTTGTTCTCTTGTATTACAAGCGTAGCAAATCAGCACGTAAGAGTGGTCGCGACCGGGCGAATGCACTTGTTCTGCCCGTAGGTCGAACTGCCGATATATTGCGATTCCACTAAGGCGAGAGAAGTAACGAAACTGTATGGTGGTCACGCAACTATGTATCGGTATTATCTACGCCCGGCGGTTTTTGTAGTCGTGCTATACGCTCTTTGCCGCTTCTGTAGCACACGGCCTTCTACCAATACTGTGCATGCGGATGTTGCGCATCGCTGCAGCATACTGAGAGGGCGCCTGCCTCACAATTATTGTGTGCGTTGCAAAATAGATTACCCGACAGGGTGAAACGTATCAAAGTGTATCAGTCGTTTCGTAAGTCTAGAAGCCGATGCTTTGCCAGTGTTGACGATTCCCGGCATAACCAAGTTTAAGAATCTATGTGTTTCGAAGTCGCAATGCATCGTCGAAGAAGTAAAGTAAAGCCCTCGCTCTACCCGCTAAGCACCGGAGCTCACCGCCTTATGTACGGCGAAGGTCGGAAAGGCACAAAGACGTCAAAGCCAGCAGCGAGACATTGCGGCCGACAGAAAAACACACAGTTTCGCGACACGGCGGTACTCGTCGGTATCGCAGGACGGAAATTTATGCGTCGCAGTATCGAGAGAGTTGTAATGTTCGTGTAACATTTCGCACTGCAGTTAACACGGAGCCGACTGCCCCGGGGGGGGGAACCATTGCAAGTGCGACCATAGCCACGATGTGTATACTCCATGTTCCTTGACAATTCCAATCCCGTGTTCGTTGGCTCAGTTAGGGACACTCAGACGCTGAGCTGAGCCTTCACTGAATGTCTGCGAGCAAACGATATCGACATCCGCGAATCTCAGGAAATCAGTTGGTTGCTATGACTCACAGACTGCCTCGTTGCGGGGTTGCCCGGTCGCGACGTGGACGTCTCGAGGACCTGAATAGGGGATCTGAATTGACTGCCTGAAGAATGGTACTGAATTTACTTGACTGGGAATGGCCGTGTAGACATGCACTGTCTCGGTACCGAGCAACGCGTCTCCACGTGTCCGCATGTTTGGGACGCCACGTCGTGCATCGATTTCGCGATCGACGACGCGGTAGAGACCGGACATCGTGTGTCAACCCGTCGACATTGGAATTCGGGTTGAAGTAAAGTCGGTGCGGGACAGGAGCGATCGGTTGACACGCAGGCAACAGCAGTACCCATTGGCGTACGTTGGTATGGAGACGTAACTCGCGACCACCTGTTGTCGGCCGTCGCACTGCGCGATTGAAGCGTTCTGGTCATGTTCTGCAGGTGTAGCACATTGCCATCCGCTGACGCAAATCGTCGTCGTCGCTCCGACTTGGCCCTTGTCAAGCAGTGGCCTTCGCCGTCGGTCCTCTGGTCGTCGGCTCTTTCCAGGTATCGTCCAGCTGCGCTTTGGACAGGCCGGTCGCCCTCGTGGCTTGGAGGTCGCCGCCCTTCACGGCGCGCTCGGACTTGTCCCAAGGCCCACAGCGCGACACTGCCACTTTGAAAATTCACACCCCGTGCAAAGGTGTCGAATACTTTGTATTCCAGAACCTGTTTGCGTTCTTGTGTCGCTTGACGCTTCGCCTCTCGTTTGCGCCTTCGCCTCTCATCCGCGTGGCGCTCGAGTCGTGTCGAAGTAAGTTGTTAGCGGCTTCCGAAGACGACACGGAGGCAAAGACAACACCTTCTACGATGTTGGAGGTCGTGACCCGAACTGCGGGTATGTTGCCCACACTCGACCTGAAAGCGACACAGGTTGACAGTGTCAAGCGGGTGCACCTCCAGGTGGAGCCGTGTGTCAAGACGGTCGACGACCCAACGAGGGACCTCGTGGCGGGCCTCATTGGGGACATTATGAAGGGCGAGTTCGACGACGACGACGACGGCCGGCGGTTGACGGTCCGGACGTCCATTGCCACCGACTTCTCGTCGGCCGACAGCGTCGTGGACGTTGAAATCGAAGACGAAGAGCTCGACGAAGTCGACGAGCGGCTGCTGCACGACATTGCTGAGAACATGATCGGCCGGAACGTCCCGTTTGAGACGCCGTTCGGCACGAAAGCCCAGTGCTACGCCGACTACACCGCGAGTGGCAAAGCCATTGAGAGCATCGAGACGTTCATTCGGCACGAGGTCATGCCGACGTACGGCAACACGCACACGTCGACGTCCGTCACGGGGCTGCAGACCACGTCGTTCCGCGAGGAAGCGCGCCAGATCATTGGCAAGGCCGTGAACGCCCGTCTTCATGGCCGAAGAGCGCACGACGTGGTCATCTTCAGTGGTCAGGGGTGCACGAGCGCCATCAGTAAGTTCATCGCGGCGCTCGGGCTCCCGACGATGCGGCGCCACCACCGCCCGCACAAGCGGCCGGTCGTGTTCACGTGTCCGTTTTCGCACCACTCGAACCTGCTGCCGTGGCGCGAGCTCTTTGCAGTCGACGTGGTCGAGATCTCCGAGGCCCCGACCGGCGGCTTGAACCTCGCGGACCTCGAGCGGCAGCTCCAGAGCTTTCAGGGCCGCGAGCTCAAGATCGGGACCTTTGCCGCGGCGTCGAATCTGACCGGCATGCTGACGGACGTCGACAAAGTCTCAAAGCTGCTGCACCGGTACGGCGCGCTGTCGTGTTGGGACTACGCCACGTGCGCGCCGTACGTCGAGATCGACATGAACCCCAAGGATCCCGGCGCCTACAAGGACGCCGTGTTCTTCTCGGGCCACAAGTTCGTGGGCGGCCCCGGGTCCCCCGGCGTGCTGGTCGTCAAGAAGAACCTGATGACGAACGAAGTGCCGACGATGCCCGGGGGCGGCACAGTGCTCTTCGTGACCGAGAAGGCCCATAGCTACCTCTCGAACAAGGCCGAGCGCGAAGAGGGCGGGACGCCCGACATCCTCGGGAGCATCCGCCTGGGCCTGGCGTTCGAGATCAAGCAGCGCGTCGGCGTGAAGAACATTGTGAACCTCGAGCGTCTACGCGTGCGCCACGTGCGCGACGTGCTCGGCCAGAACGACCACATCACGTTGCTCGGCCACGACAACATGGACCAGTTGCCGGTCTTTTCGTTCCTCGTTCGCTTTGGCGACCGCTTCTTGCACCACAACTTTGTCTGTGCGTTGCTGAACGACCTCTTTGGCATCCAAGCGCGGGGCGGGTGTCAGTGCGCCGGTCCCTTCGGTGCGCGTCTCCTCGGGCTCAGCCGCGAGCACATTACGGCTTTGGGCTATGCGGTTGTCGCGAGAGATGAGGTGCTGAAACCAGGTGTCTCCCGCGTGAGCTTCCCGTACTTTTTGGACTACGAGGAGGTCGAGTACATCCTGGACGCGATCAACTTTGTCGCGGATCACGGCTGGAAACTCCTGCCGCAGTACGACTTTGACCCGACGAACGGCGCGTGGCGGCACGTGTCGCGCGCGGCGATCCGCTTTCCCGACAAGAAGTTCTTGGCGAGTATGCAACTGGACGACCTCGAGACGGTGCGCCAGTCGTCGTGTGCGGTGCCCATCTACAACATCGCCGCTCACCGTCGCGCGAACTTGAGGCACGCGACTGCTCTAGCGGATACCTGTATTGAAGAAGCCGTGTTGGGCGAAGAGATCCCCGAAGGGCAGAAACTCGTTCCGAGCCACGAGTGGCTTCGGTGGTTCGTGTACCCGCACGAGGCCGTTGCCAGCTATAAGGAGAAGAACGAGAAGCCGGCGCTTACGGAGATCATTGAGGGTCCATGTCAACCCCATCGCTACCTCGATGGCTCCATCCACAGCATCTGGGATGGCGTGCCGTCTATGGGCAGTATGAAGCGGAGTATGATGGGACGGATCTTTCTCAAGGTGTTTATGCAAGACGAGCTGGACGCGATGAAGGACAAGCGATCGGACGACGAGAAGAGTGGGCTGAACGAAGAGGACGCCATGTGCGTCGTCTTTGGGGGCTAACACTAGTGCCTGCACAAGGGCAAAGAGAGGGCAAGCACTGAGGCACGGAAGTCGCATTGGCCGCGCGGACAGGTACATAGGTGTGCAGGTCATGATGAAATTAATGAAGCCCCATGGCACGTTGACACCAAGTGTAGTTCCTTTGCTCGTTTCGATGAGGACATCGTTGCAGCCCAGTATCGAAGCTGTTTTTGACGAGGCTGCAACGTCCTGAGGCGTGTCAACCAGATAGATCCGTGTGAGTAAAGCAGCACAGACGGCCATCTGCATTCTTATAGTCTTCGTGCCATTCGTAAGGACACGCAACTTGTCTGCCTGTTGGTCCAAACTTACAGCAACAGTTTGCTTGCTACCTCGCGACCGTATAGACACAGCGCAACCGGACCATTCGTTGTCGCTGAGCTCTGCAATAACGGACACCTTACGACGCACATCTCAATTGCGTCGTAGGGTACCGTCACGATCGATCACACAACTGTTCGTCGAAAGCTCTCGCACTTGGCCACGCTGCTTCAAGTCGATGCCAACGTCAAGGAGGGGGGGGGGCGTACATATCGGTAGTGCTGCTCCAGCACCTCAGCAACGGATCCTCCTTCAACATGATTCGAGCAAGCCTTTACCAGATTTTCTCCAGCCTTTACGGAAGTTGGCTTACAAGCCTTTCCCAGAATCCTGTCAGCCTATACCATGCGTGGTTTGTTGAACCGCCGACCCTCCAGCTCCCGCGGGATCTTCTGCCATCTCTACCACTAGACCACCTGCGTTCAATCGACTCACGCTCGTTGAGCCATCGCGTTCGGCTGGCTGAAGGCGGTTCCCGTCGATTCCTTCTTCTTTTGATCAACGGAGCTCGTATTTCCGTGGCTCAATCGTCATGGTATGCCGACCACTGCACCTTTGACAACGTCACGACAATTGTCAAGCGCGTGAGACTAGTCAGGAACGCATGCAGCTGTCGTCAGCAAACATCTGAAAAGGCAGTGGACTGTGCGCGAATTAGGCAGTCAACAAACAAAACGGATGGCGTTTGGCCTTGCAAAGCGAGTGCAGCAACACAGATGTGACATCTCCTTTTGCGATAAGGCTGAAAGCGATAGACAGGAGTTGATGTTGACGGCAAAGGCTAACAATAGGGCCCACAACCAGCGACATTGTCTCTGCAGTGGCAGACGATCGACGAAGCTGCAGGATTTGCTCCGTAGAGAAAATCCTCCCGGCGGCAGGTCATTGTCAGCTGCTGCATCCCTCCTTACAACACGAGTGGTGTTTGTGGAAAGACAATTCCAGGCTTCTCAGACGTGCGGCCTCGTCGGCCGTCTGCACGCTGCGTGGGATGCAAAGCGCGTGCATCCAGAGCCTTTATTTACGCGCAAATGTTGAACCAAATCGCTGATTCATTGCTTCTCAACGGGCTCAAGCAGGGAATGCACAGGTGTGGAGATCGACGCTTGGCCGTGCTTGTAATGGCGAGCACTTGCTTTGACGCACACGCTGGAAGCCGTTCCCGCTCCCGGCAAAAAATTAGGATGATGTGATCCAGATGGTATCCGATAACTGCGACAGACCACGACGATGATTACCAACGGCGTGATTCTGGAAGGATACAAACAGAGGACGGCCCCGGCCATCCGGTCGACAAGCAGTGAATTAGTATCGGTAGATGTCGCTGACCTCGTTCTATCGTTACTGCATGCTTCGGCAAGGAGCTGCCGTTCACTCCAGTTCGCTGACGACGTCAATTGTGTGAGGCAACGTGGTCACGGTGTTTGCTTACGCCAAGGATTGGTGTGCAGAGGCAGACAGGTTTACCAAAAATTGTCAAGTCTAGGAATGTAGCAAGAAAAAGTTCGTACAGATGTGTAGCAAGGATCGGTATGTGGTTGCGCAACAACGTTTGAATACGCTGACACTCGTATCGCAATGGTATGCATGGGTACAACTAAGCTGTCAAAGGGCACGTTGCCGCCATCCATCTGATACGGAGAAGTCGGGCGTGAGGTGGCAATCAGGCAGGAGGTACTTGTTGACTGAGCGATGCCTATGTGCTTGTCCGCAATCTATTCATTCGTGTATTTTACGCTTTCGCGACCTATGACGCTTGCTCTTTATATTAAAAAAGGGAGTTGATCATATGATCGACATGGTCTTCGACCACCTCCTTCACTGCCAGCAATGTTGCCTTTCTGTGTCAGACAGGTTACGCGGGTTAACAAAGTGGTGTGATGGTAGCTATGCTTCGATGCTGTGAGCAGGATACGAAGTGTCATGTTCTTTGCGCTTCGCTTTTGACAAAACTCATATCCATAAGACAAGTAAGTAGCTTCTTCTTTCAGTTGCAGACACGGTAGGTGTAGTTGCTGCTTACACCCTTTCAGTATAGTAGTGCAAGTTGGACACTTATCAATGTCTTTTTGGGCTCAGCCGTAACACTCACTTATCTATCGACCTGCTCCTTTGCCGCTTAGCGCGGGCCTACGCATCCCGGACTTTGTAAGGGGGTAATCCTCATACATGATATTATCGTATATAAGATTTAACAATTGGAATATTACGTTAAATGTTCCGCTTAGAATATCACGAGACACAGTGAGATTCTTGCGGTGACCCAAGGGTCAACTCGTTAATTGATACTTGGAATGACGTCAACCCACCAATCGCTGTTTGACGCGCAATGGATGGTTACTGACGTCACACTACATGTTCGTTTATTAATGTAATTTAGTTAGGACTAATCGACAATATACGTGTATTAAGACTTATTTATGTCCAATACAGTTGTACTTATATCACGACCAAAATCCATCGTCTTAGTTTTTGTCTTCCTCTGTACTCGTGTACGTGAGTTTACAGGGCACTAACAAGCTCTGCTGTCAGTAAGAGTTCACCCCGTGCTATTATGAGTACTTGTCTGTCACTGTTCCGTTACAGGCTTCCTGGAAGTTACTGTTCGATAGCGTTAGCATGTGGGATACTTTGTAGTGCCACGCCACAAGCACAGACAATTGTAAATAATATGACGGGAACTAAAAGCCATTCCATTCAGACCGTGTCAGGTGCACAATATAAGCACGGCATGCCACATCGGGTGATATTTACTTGATAAGAAGAAATCATGTATGTTTGCTTTATCTTGTCAAAAGGCCATTGTGATGTACGGACTTTTCCTATCAAAATCTCTATATCAGTGGCCAAACCGAAGGTCAACGAGCTGGAGGTTTGCCATAGATCGCCGAACTCGCTTTTATAGTGCAGAGCGCTAGAAGATCGAGCGTCAGTTTCATCATATTATTTGTATAACGAGCCAGGATAGGGCAGGGACCACCAAATTTGGCTATGCGATGTAGCAAAAGAGATAACCTGATCAAGTGCAGAATTGCTGAGGTCTGGACACGAGTAAATTACGATAGCTCCCTGCACGTGCTAGATTATGCCTGCCGTCGAACCTCTAAAGGCATAGCTTGTAGAGGTCTCAACTGGTAGCGCCAATAGTTCAGAAAGCCCTGGTTGGGTAACAATCGCTGCCAGCGAAAGAGGTAGTCTCGTCGCCGACAAGCCGGTTAACCTTAGTTACAAAGACCGTTTTGAGTCGCGTCGAAGACGAGCTGGTGAGCCTCGAAATAAGAAACCGTGTACTAATGACTTGTCCAGGTGAGGAGCCTCTGGACCTCAGCCGAGCGCAACGTAAATCCTCTAGTCAGGCGTTATCTGCACCTGGTGTCATGTGAAAGCGCGTAAAGTGTCGTCTTTCACCTGTTTATGAGACGTCACAAGAAGTGAAAGGCTTAGAAGCTGCTCAGCCTAGGCAGGATTACGCTTCATTTGGTGGCAAATAGCCAATTAAGCGAAGCAACAAATGAACCCGAAGGGGCGAATCTCGTGGTAATTTATCCTACCGTACCAGCTCGTTTCGCTGACTTATCTCGACGATTGTTGTGTTTGTGCGTTGAGGCTGTATTCGGATAGATTTGACTAGCTAAAATTCCACACCTTCGTTCGCTAATGCTTTTGTTTTCGATTTATCTAAGCCACCATATTTAGCATCGTTGGTTAATCGCGGAAGAATAAAGCAAACAGTGTTCTTGCAGGTTATCAGGACCTCTACGGTAACATTAATGATGCTACAAGCTAGCCATATTTGATAAGAGTGTGAGCATATACCTGATTCCTCACGTACACGAGCACTACGTAAGCCCTTGCAGCCAAATGGACAAGCTAATTGTAGTTAAATCATAGCTGTACTCCATTACATATACTTTTAACAATGTAATGTTTCGATGTAGTTCATCCAATCTAACTACATACATGCGTGACGGCTACGACAAGTATAGAGAACACATTGATACAAGATTCAGGGTCTGTGTATGAAACTATTGTGGTCAAACACCAAGTATTGCTCGATGCTGGTACGCTACCTACAAGCGTAATGTCAGCTAGATCGAAGACGAAGTTTCGTCCGCGCTCGATTGAACTATCAACGTCATGAGCACGAAGGATACCGAGACATGTGACTTTGGGGGCGCTCGTGCCGACGAAGATGGCTGTGCCACGATTTTCTTCATGCTCATCAGGTAATCTTAGCTACCCACATCTAAGATCGACTCTACTCCAGGGCTAACATTCCGTCTACAACCGAATACGATAGTTCCGTTCGATGACAAAGACGTTGCAGATATCTAATTATATCGTGTTCGATGAAGATTGACATGGTAATTTTGATGTATCGGCCTACGCCTAATTTACAGCTAGTGAATCTCCAATTCCATGTGGTTAACATTTCAAAAGTGCATCGTAGTTACGTATTGTACTTGAAGTTGAGGAAGTGGCGTGGGTAAACGAAGCCATATAGTTCACGGTAATTTTAACTTTAACTATGAAAAGATATCCATTACGCCTATGACGTCTTGATGATTCCTTGCAGAGTCAACTTCGCCACAAGACCCTTCACGATAGTAGTTGTGAGCGTACACGGTAATAATTTGTGCTATGACTCGTACCCGTGG